AGTTGTAGGGAGTATTATCTGTTACATATGAGTGAGTTGTTGTGCAGTTGTAGGGAGTATTATATTACATAAGGGTGAGTTGTTGTACAGTTGTAGGGAGTATTATCTGTTACATATGAGTGAGTTGTTGTGCAGTTGTAGGGAGTATTATATTACATAAGGGTGAGTTGTTGTACAGTTGTAGGGAGTATTATCTGTTACATACGAGTGAGTTGTTGTGCAGTTGTAGGGAGTATTATCTGTTACATATGAGTGAGTTGTTGTGCAGTTGTAGGGAGTATTATCTGTTACATACGAGTGAGTTGTTGTACAGTTGTAGGAGTATTATATTACATAAGGGTGAGTTGTTGTACAGTTGTAGGGAGTATTATCTGTTACATAAGAGTGAGTTGTTGTACAGTTGTAGGGAGTATTATCTGTTATATACGAGTGAGTTGTTGTACAGTTGTAGGGAGTATTATCTGTTATATACGAGTGAGTTGTTGTACAGTTGTAGGGAGTATTATCTGTTACATATGAGTGAGTTGTTGTGCAGTTGTAGGGAGTATTATCTGTTACATACGAGTGAGTTGTTGTACAGTTGTAGGGAGTATTATATTACATAAGGGTGAGTTGTTGTACAGTTGTAGGGAGTATTATCTGTTACATACGAGTGAGTTGTTGTACAGTTGTAGGGAGTATTATCTGTTACATACGAGTGAGTTGTTGTACAGTTGTAGGGAGTATTATCTGTTACATACGAGTGAGTTGTTGTACAGTTGTAGGGAGTATTATCTGTTACATACGAGTGAGTTGTTGTACAGTTGTAGGGAGTATTATATTACATAAGGGTGAGTTGTTGCACAGTTGTAGGGAGTATTATCTGTTACATATGAGTGAGTTGTTGTGCAGTTGTAGGGAGTATTATATTACATAAGGGTGAGTTGTTGTACAGTTGTAGGGAGTATTATCTGTTACATATGAGTGAGTTGTTGTACAGTTGTAGGGAGTATTATCTGTTACATAAGGGCGAGTTACTCAAACATGTGTGAATGAAACAAAACACAACTCTAGGTAAGATTTTTTATTTTTTTGACGAGGTACCAGCCTTATAACATGACTTGAAGCTCATATGTGTATTTATTTATTTTTTTAAATTTTTTAATTTTGTAATATACGATTTTTAATCTAGGCACAAAAGTTGCATGCAATGGCTTTAAAAATTGAAAGTGTTATTTTAAAATTCATTACAAGTTACTCTAACAAGCCGAAAGCACTAATTAATTTGAAAGTCTCTGTAGAAAATTCTGTAAAAATTGCTTAAATAACAGCTAAAGTATGAATTGCAATTAACACGTGCAGATTTGGAGAACTCCCTCTATCAGCAGTAGCGCCTAACACTTTCAACAGTCAGCTATATTCTCATTTATAACGCTGTTTTTCGTCTCATTCAGTCTGGCTCCAAAGCTGAGTTTGTACAGATGAGAGTGTTTGGAGCAGCACATTGTGTCATTTCACATTGGCTCCAGTCCTTGCAGGTCTCATTAACAGCATTGGCGGTGCATCATTAGGAACCCCCCGCGGTCCCTGTCCAATGGTTCTGTAATTAGAGCAGAGGTGTGTGCAGTGTGGAGTCTGCCGAGTACACAGCGAGCTCTCAACCAAACTTCACTTCGCTGCGTCTGAGCCAGTCGCTGAGAGGAGAGAAGGAGAGACTGTGTGCTATAGAGTCTACAAAGTGATGTATAACGAGGAGGAAGATGGCGTTCATGCTCGCACATAGTCTATGTAACAACTGGGATTGAAATCAAAACGAAACCAGTACTAGAAATGGACCAAATAGATGTGTTTTTCGGACTATAAGTTGCTCCAGAATGCAAGTCGCACAAGTCAAAAAATGCAAAATTAAGAAGAAAAAAGCATATATAAGTCGCACTTTTGGGGGGAAATATATTTTATAAAATCAGTGACCAGGAACGACATTTCATCTTGAAAGGCAAGTTCTAGTAATAACAACAGAACAGAGAACAACAGGCTGTTAATGTCACATATGAACAGTTCTTCAGATAAACTATAGAATAAACAAGAGAACAGAACAAGTTTACCAAACTCTTGATCTCACTGCAAATCACTAAATCCATTGAATTCTTCATCCTCGGTGTCACTTATGAGCAACTCCGCAACCTCCGGAGGTAAACACAGCGCCGCTTCCTCTTCTGTGTAGCTGTCGTCAGATTCAGCATCAGTTCAAGTTAGAATTATTCCGGCCTTTCTGAATCCTGACAGGATGGTTTCGGTGTCACTGAAGTCCAGGCTTTGTCCATCCATCCAGTGACTTAAAGGAAATTTGCATGTTGCACCCTCCCAGTTGCCGTAAAGTTGTGTTCTCCATCCCCGCCTTTTGCCAGTCCCTCACAAGTTTCTCACTCACTCCAAACTCTTTTTACCGCTTGATTACCTTTGAATTACCGCTGAATGTTTCACTACTTGCAGCAGGACACCGGCTCTTTCTGCAGGAGACATGCGCAATAGAGCTGAAGTGACAGTGGTACAGGAGTAACAGGAGTAGCAGATACTGACACACAAGCCTAGAGCACCCAATATATAAGTCGCACCGAAGTATAAGTCACAGGACCACATATAGTCTGAAAAATACGGTACATTAGGACATTTCACCTGATATATCTGAAAAATGGCTTATCTCAGAAGTAAATTAGTGTTCTGGTTAGTGCTTGGTTGGGAGACTACTGGGAATACTAGGGGCCACAGTGAAGCAGCAGTGGCTCTAGTTAATATTGCCTTTGTGTATTTAGGCAAGACACTTCGCCCTCATGGTCCTGGACTAGAACAGGACTAAACCAAGACTACAAGAGAACCAAAAACAACATCTATATCTGGACATTTCACCTTGACGATGCCTGTTCTTGGAAGTTCATTAGGGCTCTGTTTAGTGCTTGGTTGGGAAACTAAATTGAATATTATGTGTCAGCGTGGAGCTACAGTAGCTCTAGTGCATACTGTTGTTGTGTCCTTAGGCAAGACACTTCACCCACCTTGTCTAGACCTGGACCAGAACAGGACTAAACCAGTAGTTGAACAGAGCCAAAGCAAAGTCTATATCAGGACATTTCACCTCGTCGAAGCTAATTCAAAATTGGGTCTGGGATTAGTACTTCGTTGGGAAACTAATGTGAATATTATACTGCATGAGCTGTTGTGCATATTGTTGTTGTGTCTTTAGGCAAGACACTTCGCCCGTCTTGTTTAAACGAGGACTAGAACAGAACAAAACATTCTCACCTTGACAATGCGTGATCTTGGAAGCTAATTAAAGTTGGGGCTGGTTAGTATTTGGTTGGCAGACAATTGGGAATACAAGGTACCACAGTGAAGCAGCAATGCCTCTGTGCATATTGTCGTTGTGTCTTTAGGCAAAACACTTCACCCATCTTGCCTAGAATAAATGCGCTGTGACTGACTGATGTTGTCTAATGGTGTAGCGTTCTAACTTATTACCAGCTGGTGTGGTTTGAATGAATAATGTAATATAAAGCATCTTTGAGTGTCCAAAAACATTTTATAAATCAAATCCATTAAACTCCAGTTTGAAAAGCTCCATGTTGGTTTTAAACATAATAACAAATAATTTAGCCCTTCTAAAAATCACCCTTCCATATCTCTGGCAGACACTCTTGTACACGTCCAAACTCATGCGTGCACATCTTTTCTTGAAAATTTAAATGAACTGCATGTACAAATTAGATTTTAAATTCAACATGTGTCACTAAATATGAGGTAAATGTCTTGAAATCAAACATACTGTAGCTTTTACTGATAACAACTGTAATGCTGATTTATTCTTCTACAAAAACATTGGAGATGATGACCCATTTATTCATGTTATAAATTTTTAAAACTGTAAAAGTGTTACATAGGGTCAAGTGGTAACAGAGGGAAACAGGGGCAGATTTTTTACATTCAAATGTCTCTTATTCAGAAACTAGAGGCACTATTGAAATAAGTAAAGTATCAGAATGTAGGAAAGAGTTAACACACCAACAAGGTAAAATTAAACCTGTGATATTCTTTCAAGTTGTTGACAAAAAATTTAAAAACTCATGTCGGTAATGGAGGGAATGAAATATGCAGGAATTTTGGGCAATAAATACAAACAGTGATAACTCTTGGTTCTCACTTACATATACTTAACAAACTGGTTTGAATATTTGCTTCATATAGTTTTCTACCATATGGTACAAGATTAGGTTGAAAAACCTCTTACTTTTTGAGTAATGAGATTTTTTTTATTAAGAAAGGTCATGGTAACGGAGGAAAAAGCAATGGAGGGAAATTGTGCAAGCAAGTAGAAGGTGCATGATTTTGCATAATTTGTCGCTTTTTTTCTTCTGAATTATTTAATCTTACTTCAAAATGAAAGATAACTATTTTTATAAAATATGTCAGTCCTTCCAAGCAAATTTTTATCATTTAAATTTTTTTTTTTTGGAAAAATCATGTACCTTCTTCAACAGTTCAAAGATTGAATAACACAAGATATGATGAAATACATCAATTTATTTACATGATTTGCAGGTCTTTGAAATTTGGGAAATAATTTTTGTTCCATGTTTCATACATGGTCTGTTTAAAACCTATGTAACTTTAGAAACAAAAATGGTACCGAAAAAAGGTAGTTTCATAAACTAGAGTACATATGTATCTGTTCAATACATTTTTATATCAGATGCATTAACTTGAATTTTGACTTACTGTAGACTTCTGCTTGACCGGGCCCATAGATTCTTTCTTTGGAGTACTGTGATGGTTGCTTGTATGTCTGATATGGATAAATAAATGATAAATGTATAATTAAAATAGTTTTGTGTTTTTGAATAGAAGCTTAGGAAGAGTAGTCGGATTGTAATGATTGACAGCTAATGAGGGATTCAAAAAAACAGTACATGATAAACAAACGTACCTCCACATGATCTCACTGTCTGTGTCCCTCTCCTCTCTCACAGCGCGCCGACGTGGGTCTCTCTGCCCTCACCATCACCCCGGAGAGAGAGAGCGTGGTAGACTTCACCACGCGGTACATGGACTACTCAGTGGGTGTGCTGCTGAGGAAGGCCGAGCGCACTGTGGATATGTTCGCCTGCCTCGCGCCCTTTGACCTTTCCCTCTGGGCTTGTATCGCCGGCACCGTGCTGCTGGTGGGACTCCTGGTTTATCTGCTCAACTGGCTCAACCCGCCCCGCCTGCCCATGGGAGCCGTGTCCTCCACCACGCTCTACAACTCCATGTGGTTCGTGTACGGCTCCTTCGTGCAGCAAGGTAAGGCTGATTGACACATGCGCAGTGTTGTTTTGAGCTGGCTTTGTGCTGTACTTTGGTCCAAAAAAGGTGGTATCTGCTTGGAAGTATGGTTCTACTCAGATACTATGCAAAAGAAGAAGGAGATCCGGACTGCAGTTCTTTGCAGGGGTGTCCAACTTGTGGCTCAGGAGTGAACAGTAGCTCTCCAAGTCCTTCCAAGTAGCCCATCTGAGGCTTAGTGTAGCTCTTATACATACTCAGTTTCTTGCGACCGCTAAAATTAGTCGCTGTCTTGCGTTTTCATTTCGTAAAAAAAGATTGGAAATGCCTGGTTTAGAGTTTAGATTTCGAGTAGAAGTATGGTTCTACTCGGATACTATGCAAAAGTAGAGAGAGATCCGCTCTGCAGTTCTTTGAAGCTCCCAAATTTATATTTCAAAGACACCACAATGTGTTGTTTTGGGTCAAGCCTTTCTTCAGACATCACCACGTCTGATCTCTTTCTTTTTTTGTACGGTTTTTGTCTTTGGACCCAGCACGCAGTCGTGATTTTTGTTGGATGTGCAAGTTTCTATCTACCAGTATCAACTGAGATACTAATCAGTACTACTTCATCTTGTATGTTGGTGTACCTTGACATTGGTTTGATCAAAGAAATCAAAGTATTTAGAGCAGGAGTCTCCAACTTGTAGCTCACCAGAAGCTCTCCAAGTCCTTCCAAGTAGCCCATCTGAGGCTTGGTGTGGCTCTTATACATACTCAGTTTCTTGCGACTGCTAAAATTTGTGGCTCTCTTACATTTTCGTTTTGTAAAAAAAATTGGAGACGCCTGGTTTAGAGTTACAGAAAATTAATCTCTTTAAATTTTGATTGCTACAAAAGCAAATATCAAAACTAGAGTAAGTATCAATGCTTTAGTAATATATAGAAAGCTAAAATTTGATCTTTCCTGAAACGTTTTAGAATTCATCAATATCAGAACTAGTATTCATGGGTTTCTAGCACTGTTGCCATAGCAATTACCAATTCAAGACGAAATATTATATTTTCGACAAGCAAAAATCCTCAAAATATGACCTATAAACAAAAAGCTGAAAAACATAAATAATACTACTAAAGAAATCACTGTTTTGAGCTGAAATTCAAGTATATTGTGTGTGTTTTTTGTGATATAAAAATATTATTGAATATTTTCCTTAGTATTAAAATAGGTTGAACTTTTATTATCATGATAAGGCTGCTTTGAAGTACACAGAATGGACTTGCAACTTTGTACTTTTGGGGCTTTGTTGGGTGAAAGAAACGAGACCCAGATTCTAAAGGCTGTTGACTTTTGATCATGTTCTGACACTTCTGATTTTTGGAAGGGTGAGTACTTGAGATGTGCTCTTTCTAAAGAAGATTATCCGCTCTGAAGCAAATTGTGAATGCTGAGAATCGTTTTAAGATGGCCTTGTTTGAAAAAATCCCACGAAATTGTCACGAAGGCGAGACATTGTGACTGGCACTTGAACTTTGTGGAGATGATCTGAAAAGGTTCTTGTAACCACTGTGTAGTATTTCCATCTGTGTTGCTATTTGGTGGAATGACAAGCAATCAGTGAATCCTAAACAACCATTCAACGAGAGAATTTTGGAATTTTGGATTGCATTTTGAGATCTTCTTTGAGTTCTTATAGCACTGAAGAACTTTTTACCTTGAGCTTTTGTCAGTGTTCCCTACAAACATCACCTGCAGTTTTTAAATTGTCTGAAAACAACAACATTTACTAAAAGGAGTGCGATGTAACTCTTTGGTCGCTTGGGTCTGTCAGCTGCTTGTTTCTATGAATATGTCATTGCTCTGCCTGAAATGTTCCACAGTATGACATTCTACAGCTCTACCTTACATTTATTCAGTTACAGTTACACATCAGCTCACCTGTTGTAGTTCCAGATGGGTCAGTTCTTTATTGTCAGTCCAATTTGACTAATAGAACTTCAGACAGAGCAGTGCAATCTGTGTATCATTCGTTCATTCATTTTTCAAAATAAAACGAAAAATAAGAAAATGAAAAAAACAACTATTTTCTTCATTATTTGTCTCCAAAATCAAAATGAAAAAAATAGATAACGATTTATTTATTTATTTTTATTTTTTTCAGTTTTTCGATTTTGTGGTTAAATAAATAATAGAAAAAATAAATTAATTAATAAAAAAAAAAATATATATATATATATATATATATATATATATATATATATATATATATATATATATATATATTATATACACCAAACGGTCTACGGGGACACACTTCTGGGTCCGTCCTGACACTCAGTCCTGGTTCAGTCCTGTTTTATTCCTGTTTTAGTCCTGGTTCAGTCCTAGTTCAGTCCTGTTGTAGTTCTGGTTCAGTCCTGATTCAGTCGTATATACATTGCAAAAGTCCGGAATCATAGTTTAAGTCACGGAAACGGCCTTTATCTGTTTTTTTTCATTATTCATGGAAACACAAAAAACGAAAACTGAAAAAACTAAATGTTATCTGTTTTTTCATTTTGGTTTTGGAGACAAATAATGAAGAAAATAGTTGTTTTTTTCATTTTCTTATTTTTGGTTTTATTTTGAAAAACAAATAAACGAATGATACACAGATTCTGTGCCTCCAGTTGCTTCATTCCCCGGCAAATGTTGATGACATTTGCTGAAAGATATGAATACCCATGAGATTTGATGAATGTTTTCGTTGATTTGTATTTGAACAAAATATACCGCGAGCAATGTTTATGTAAGACTGGCAGTTTGACTATTTGAGATATGCGTGTCCTTCGCTTGTACTCTGGATTTATATTTTGGCATTGATGAAGACACAACGTTAGGTCAAGTTATGCATGGCACTGGCAACAGAAACAGAGCCAAGAATCCTGTTTGTAAAATGAACATTAGAGTAACACTGCCCCAGAAACCAGGAAATTCAAAACAGTTCCAAAAAAAAAAAAAACTGAACCGTGAAGAAAAACAGCTCTGAGCCATAGTTGTAGCAGCCAAATATCAGGCTCTATGGCAACAGAACCACGGCCATGACAACAAACCGCTGCGGCCTTTGGCATTTTCAGCTGCTAAGAGTCTTTTAAATTAATAAATGCTTCTCTTTTTCTCATTTAATCATTTTTCTTTGCAAGATTTATCGATTGTGTGCATGCGCATTGTGTGTTATTCCAGACTGAAAAAAATGAGGATTTGAAATGATTGTTTTAAAGAGGGGTATTTGAGTTACTACACTATTTGTTAACTCTTATTTAGATCACCATCTTCATTTTTATGGTTTTGAAAATGCTATATCCAGTCACTTTGCTCCCCGTGCACTCAGTCAGTCCCCTGTCAGTGTTTCACCTGCTAATGAAACTTCTGCACCTCGCATCAGGTTTGTTGTTTATTGTTTTGTATTCTACTTTTGTATATTAATGAAAAATGGTTGTGCGGAATCATGACTTGTTGGCTGAGACGTGTACGGGATTGTACTGCGTGATTGTTAGGAGGGTTTGATGAGGGCCTGAGAGAGATCCCAAGATTACTCAAAAATTCATGAATGACTTCTAAAACCTCTTCAGGTGTGTTTTTGGTGAGGAAACAACATTATAACATGGTAGAACGCTCAAGTAGATTTACCATAATAACCCCTCCTTCAAATGCATACAGATGATTTTTGTGTAGTGTAGTTCCTGTGGTAAATGTGGAAAATATTAATAGTTTGACATCACTCCAGTAGCCAGGCCACCGCCACCTAGGGCCTCACCTCAGTTTCACTTCTCTCCAGCGACTAGGTCAGGAATCAGAATACACTAGACGGTTTGCAAGAACTTTGGAAGTTGTAGACCGTGCACTGGCCAATCAGCGAAGAACTGTGAAGTCATGACGTCAAACTCAAACGTCCTGTCTAGGGTCCCTTTGGTGGTACAACACAACAGTAAACAAAGCGGTCAAGATGGATGTAGATGAAGTCATACATTCTGTGTTGGCAACAATTCCCAAGATCGAGGATTTAAAACCAGAACAAAGACAATGTTTGGTGAATTTTATCAAGAGGAAACACGTTATTGCCCATCTTCCTACGGGATTTATCGCATTACATACATCACAACCAAATAGCAGCGACTGGTTAAATAAAAAAAAGTACCCGTCTACGGTAGAGCAAATGAATCCTAATGCTCTGAGGTCAGACGGTTTCCATGAAGTGAAACCAGCTGATGAATCAGGCTATCACTCCAGTGGTAAAATTGTAAAGAAGAAAGAAAAATAAATAAACAGAAAGTATGTCAGTTTACACTAAAGGAGCAGATTTTTAAAACAGTTAAAACATTCTTTAAAAAATGTGTTGTGACATATTTTCATTAGTCAAATAATAAACCCTTCTTTACTTTGTGACAACAGGGTAAACATTATGAAATTACTCTGATCTTTCTGTATAACCATTTAGTAAAATTCTACACTTCAGCAACATGGTTAAAGTAAGAAAAAATGGATTTTTATGGTTAAATCTTTCAAATATTTCAAATAAAACATCAAACCTACCTTCTATATTTTTTTAGATTTGTCAAAACTGCCAATCACTCTTACATTTGTTAATATTACTCACATGTGCTGAAGTGGCTGTCCATCAAGAAAATGCTCTTAAATCACTGTAATCTGCAAAGCTCGGTCGCTAAGGCAAATCTCTCTTATAAAGCAACATGAATTAAATGTGCATCGTGTAACTTTTCTTGTAGAGGGTCCATCACCTGCTTGTTTCTCTGCCTGGAATGTTCCACAGTGTGACATTAAACAGCTCTACCTCACATTTATTCAATTACAGGTGGTTTTATAGCTCAAAAATACGTACAAAAACATGCATTCTGACTGTGAGTGGGGTCGCCTCTCCACAGATCTGACCTGTAACTTGGCCTAGTTTAGTCTCCATGAAGATAAAAATATTTAACACCATACTGTGAATCATTCCAGACAAATAATAAAAGCAGTAATGCAGCTTTAAGCGTTC